AGGAGGGGGGATATTCCGGCCGCCAGGACAAAGCCCGGCCACTCCGCCGTCCCTCGCAGGCTTCCACCGCGGTGTCCGCTCCCGGGGGGGCGGGGGGAGCGGAGAGACCCCGCGAAAAAGAGCCGCGTTCCCTGCGGCACGGGGGATGGGCGATGGGGGCGTGGAGCGGGGGGCCATGCCCGCAGCTCCGCACCCCAAAATGTCGGCCTCCAGAAAGTTTGTGGCAAAGCAGCAGTTACTCTGCATTTCTGGCGCTGCAAAGTAGCTAAGCGTGTGACAGAAAGTATGTTTTTTTCCAGAGCATATAACAAATCCTGGCATAACACAAGATTGTTATCACCAGTGGCAAATAATGGGTTGGTTTGTAAGATTTCCAGGTTATATTTTCAAACAAGATCTGACATGCAGCTTCAGTAAAACTTCATACATCACAGAAAAGATGATCTGTCCATTTGCACAGCAGAGGCGTATGAGCTAAGAGAAAGTATTACTGGAAAAAACAAAGTCCATAGAGGGTGTGTCTGCCTTCACTTTTTTCCCCTGCCTGTGTCATTCTTTGGATTTTGGTACAACCACCTTGGGTCAACAAAGGGTAAGTGAAACTGGAGACAAGCGTACTGCATCAGTTCACTCTGAAAGAGCAGATTGTCTCCAGTTTTGGTTAATGCACGTACAGCCTCCCGTGCTGTGGGACTGGTTATCTGGCAGATGCAAAGCACAGAAGTGCTATAGCATGCACAGGCCATTCATTGTAAAAAGCCAGGCGGGGTCTGAATCCACACTCTGATTGACCTATTTATTTTAAAGTAATTCCTACATCAAAGGATCAGGCCAGAAACAAAACATGCCATAGGTGCTTTCAAACTGGGATGGTCACCAACTGAGAGTCACAGGACTGTGGGATAATTCTGGTTAGAAGGGAGCTCGGGAGCACACTTGGGCAACCCCCTGCTCCAGGTGAGTCACTGAGGAGCCGAGGGTGGTTTGGCAGGGTTTCGCCCAGCCTGCTGGTGAAAACCTCCCAGCATGGAGACTGCCCGACTCTCTGGGCAGCCTGCTCCCGTCTTTGGGTGCCTGCTGGGGGAAGAATGTTTTCCTTATGCCTAGTCTGAACCGCTCCTGTTTGCGTTTATGTTGTTGTCTTCCCACCCTGCACCACTGTGACGAGTCCCACTCTGACATCTTGATGACCTCCTCATAGGCATAGGGGGCTCCTGTTAGTGCCCCAAAGTCTGCTTCCATGGGGCTGAGCAAGCCCTGCCCCCAGGCTCTGGCCCCCGACATCTCACTGGCCCCTGCTGAATTTGCTCTAGTTTATTGATGTACACAGCTGAATTATCTGACCTGGCAAATATCTAGGCTAACTTCATGCAGCTGTGCAGGTTTTGTGCGCCTGTCTAGTGATTTTTCCTGCTAAAGGACTGCTTGGATACCCAGTGTTTTCTCCTACTTTCTCCCCTACATGAGTGGGGCTTGAAAGCAAATTGTTATTTAAGTAGATTGATTAAAGTTATTTTAATTTAAAAACTTGTCAACATTTGTACCTCCTACTGCAGTCTTTAAATTAACATTAAAAGGTGCCTCCATACTAGCTCTCAGTCTGCTTTCTCCCTCAAGCCCTTGTCTGGCAGCAGCATTCAACGTGGTGGGGGCCAGGAGATGGGGAGGTGACAGGTAAATGCATGTCTGTTCTTGCGCTGCTCCCCAGGCTTCTGTACCCGCCATGGCCCGGCACAGGATGTTTGAGGTGAGGGATCTTTGGTTTGACCCACACAGATACTCTTCTCATCTTGTGTTATCAGAGATGATTATTTTTGTACTTATATCACTTCCTTGATATTTCTAGCTAAAGCAGTACTAAACTGTTGTATTTCATATAATTACATCTTCATTGTAATTGATAATATGTAGATTTATTTTCTTAAAGGCAAATTCAGATCAGTTTCCTTATCAAGGTACATCAGCAATAATGTGAGTTTATTCTGGAGTGTTCAACTGTCTCACTCGTGAATGGAGGCCCATTTTGAATAATCACAGAATTACAGAATGAAGCAATTTAGGTTGAAAGGGACCTTGGAAGGAAATCTTGTCCAACTCCCCACTCAAAGCAGGGCTAATGTTGTTGTTAGATCAGGTTGCTCATCATAACATAAAATTTTGATCTTAAGAGCTTGTGTAATGTTTCAAAAAATCTCCCTCTGAGGAAAAAAAATACAATCTTTGTACTCTTGTTGACATGAACCTGCATAGCTTAACCAAAGTCAGTCACAGGAACACAGGAGGCAAAACTCCTCGGTTACCAAGTCCTTGTGGACTTCTAGATTTATACCAGCCTTACAAATAACAACATTATTCATACATTTTGGTTTGCAGTTGGAGAAAAATTCAATTCCAGGAATTCTAAGTATCTCTTACGTCTGAGGCTTCTCTTAATCAGATCCAGAGTTAAAAGAGCCACATGCTATTTTTCCTCAAAAAAAACCCCAAAACCTAACAGTGGTTTGATTTTGTTACTGTAATTCTTACTTTGGTGGTGTTTTAGATGGACGCGTTGAACACATTAATAAGCATCCTTCCTGAACAGGTATGCTTTTCTAATTTAAGGCCAACAAAAGAGAGGCAGGAAGGGAGGTATTCTATTAGGTACAGAGAAAGGGAGTGAAAGAAAGCTAAAATGATCATAGTGCTTTCCAACATGAAAACCTGTCCCCAATGCTGGAGTGATTTAATCACATTTTTGTGTCATAAACTTCTGCCTTTGTTTTATACATGCTATTTAGTTTCTCCCTACATTTCACAAGAAGAAATTGCTGAATCCATTTTTTATTTTCTGTAAGTAGAATTCTACATTCGGCAAGTGTAACTGAAGGCAGAATGTAACCATCTGCATTTTAACAGAAAACGTTAAGATTAAAAAGTGTGTTTATTCTTTGAAAAGCAGATACAGCAAAAATTGTATTGAATTTGTAGTTTCCTTAATTTTATAACATTTGTTTTTCTATGATCCAAATGCTTCATCTTTCTAAGAAATACGAGATTGTGTGGTTTCCTAACTGAAAGTAGAGTGTCTTGTTATGGGTGTTAAGCCTTGTTTTAGTGGCTTTCAGGAATTGATTAAATTATTAATTAAATGATTCTGATCAACGAGAAAAAAATATGTGAATTATAAAACTTTAAATATATTTTGTAAGAAAAAAGTCGTAATGCCTGTATTTTTTTTTTTGCTGTCAGTTTTAACCAATTAGAAAGCAGTCAGGGCAGTGCCTATTTCATTAAAATTTTTAATCTTTCCCAGGTTCACTGACTTCTCCTAAGAGTTTTTTCTTTCTGAAGCCAC